AATTTCTTTCTGTGTCTTACCCTCTTGCTTGAGGGTGTCAATGATGGCCTTCTGGACAGCAGTCAGGTCGGCAGTCTTACCCATGATTGCGGTTTTGAGTAATGAACAAGGCTGGGAGTTTTTAAAAGCCTCAGGAATCTTTTGCAGGTGTTTAGAGTTACGTCGTTGATTCAGATGGTTAGGTTAATAGCTTGTTTATAGAACCTTTTCATAATATGCTAATTATTTGGGACAGGCATTTTGGGTTTTCATGAGCTGTATGCCATAATCATCAGTATTAAAACAATTAAAGACCTGAAATATTTCAGTTGGTGTGCAATGAATCTGAAATATATGAAAGTTTAATTTTTATCATTACATTATGGAAAATAATGACCTTTATCACAATATGCTAATTTTTTGAGAAGGACCTGTATGTATGTATTTGTTTATATATATACATTTTTTTTTTTTTTTTTTCTTACAGGACAGCACAGAGCTGCAAAGTGAATCAATAGGAAACAACCAGAGCTGAAGTATTGGCTTGATAATAGCTCCAGTGTTCTGTCCTTGACTCCAACAATGGTTCCTCTTCCCTACAGACTGAAGGGCTTCACCATGGTAACTGATGATGGTTGAGATACAGAAAGCGGGCTGTTCACCTTCTAAACAATGTTTGCTTTGTTTTTTGGAATTCTGTCGAATCAACAGGGACAATAAATAAATAATAAAACGTTCAACCACAGGTGAAGCTCATAAAACCCAACTTTATTTATTTTGCACCATGATGCCTCTATGTCCCCGTACAATACATTCAGTATATACATTTGGCCATGAGGGACTTTACAGAGATGTCATACAGTAGTGCATACATACGTGGCACGAAAAGGTACACAAAGAAAACTCATACATGCCACTTTACCACAGTAAAGCAATAAACAGGATACACTCGGGGCGAGTCAAAGGGCAATGCAAATTTTACACCAGAGCTCTCGCTCTCTCACACACACACACACACACACACACACACACACACACACACACACACCTACACATGCGCGATCACTCACCCAGCCTGGACTGTGTGTGGAAACACACACACTGGCTTTAAGACACTTCTCAAGGAGTAGAAGGGCTGTTTCAGATTTTCATAATAGAAATACAAGGATGTCAAGAGCGTCTGCTGACTACAGTAAATTCCTCCCTCTCATCAGAGCACACTTCCCTCCGTCTCCCCCTTTCTCCCCTCTAACATCTCTAGTTTCTCACAAAGCTAAGGCCTCTCTCTCGGCAGCGCTGCCATCATTCACAGGCTCTTTCCTTTAGTCGACTCATCAGCAGCAGGAAATAAATAGCGAGCCTCTACTGAACAGTGACCATTTGCAACATAAAGCATAGAAGATGCATCTAGTTCTTCTACAATGTACATCCTATCTTAGGATATTTTTCTATCAAGAGAAAACAGGTCCAGTTTGACAACTTACTACTCCTCAAAGCACTAAAATATGTCCTCACGACAATCTGATCTGATGACAGCACAGTCTGCCTGTTCGCTCACTCCACCGCTAACCATCTGCCGATTACCTCTCCTCCTGCTGGAGTTTTATTTTTGTACCTTCCAGAGGCATGCCCTTCGATCATTCAGCCTTCAGTGACTGCATTTAGCGTTGTGTAGCGCAGCATACAGCAGCGGCGATCAATATATGGGTTGGACTTTTTAAATGCGGCGGCCATGCTTGCTAACGTCACTTTCAGATTGCTTGTGTCAATTTACTTGCTCGTTAAAACGCTGAGTTTCACAAATCATAAGACATGCATTACACTGTCCTAGAAGACTGAGTTTATGATACTTTTAGAGAATCAGCTACATCTTTCTGTTACTAGGTGTAAAAAATTGGACTGTTTGGACAAAATAAACAGCAGGAAAAGCATTAAAAAAAGGAAAAGGCTTCCTAGAATTTGCTAGAAAGGCAAAAAAAAAAAAAAAAAAAAAGGTTGAAAACCCAAAAAGATTGAGCACAAGTTGTCAGTAGGTACCAGCAGGGTTAAAACACTGGAACTTTAAGTGTCTGTGCACACATAAGCATTCAGATAGTTAAGACACGCTCACATTCACACTCATGGAGGCTTTAATGCAAAGTGGAAGCATGACAGGTTGAAGTAGGTGCTGATCCGGTTCGGACAGGCTGCACTGGGATCAATGCATGGGAAGGAGAGGAGAAGCTTGTCGCTCAGAAGCAGCAGCAGACCCATGTCTTAAGAGTCGAACCACGGAGGCAGACGTGCATGTAACAAAACAGCAAACAACTAAAATGCAAAGCCATCACATCCGATGTGGCTGAGGCAAAAGTCCCCAAAAAACACAATCAACACGGATCAGCGAGGGCGAAGTGGGCTGATGGGCCAACCACAATGAAGTAGAACATCAGTAATAATTACCCCAGAATAAATAACAGTCACAGAACAATCATCAGAAGCAGAATTGGAAATTAGCTGATCTAGCGGACTGATTAGACCCATGCATTATAAGGCATTAAGCAAACATCTGTTACTGACATCACATAGTATTAACAGTGACTATACATACAATTGCTGATCTGAAAAAAAGGTATTTTTTATTATTCTGATCACCTATATATATATATATATATATATATATATATATATACATAAACATATTCCTAAAAGCAATGACACAATTTTAAGGGAGTAGGGAATGTTGCGGGGCTCGCAGATCGATGTCTGCAATCCCATTGTACCTATTGATCTGCAGATAGGGGAATGAAATTGATTTTCTGAGGTAGACAATGCAGGCATATTTCATTCTCCCAATGCAAAGCCATTCCACACGGGGTAGTGGGGGTAATTTGGTCCATTTGGACAGGCTCTGGACTTCTGCTTCAGCCAATTGTACTGTGTCAGATGGGTTGACCCATCCATCATGCTTTTCCTGCTTGTCTCACCACTGTGGTACTTACACTGTCACCAGTGTGATGCACCCACTCCATGATGGATAGTGGACAACATGCTCTGTGACAACATAGAGAGATCAGTCTGCTCCGCTCACAGGCCTGTCGTTTACACACAGCTGGGGACGCACCATTCAAACTTGGTTGGTTTATTTAATACCCTGGCCGCCGTATGGGGCCCATGTGGACAATACCTCTCAACATGCATCGTAAATGCTGCTTCCCTTACAATCATCAAGCCCCCTTTGAAATATAATTACTGTGTCAACGTGCCAATCCAAATGAAAGGCTTAAACTGTTGTGAAGGGGTAGACTTATTGAAAAAAAAAAGGTACAATAGTTTATGATTTAAGGCTGATTCCAGTGAACAATGATATGTTGTACCTTTCTTGTTCTTTGTGATGTTATGGGTCAACAGTTACTGAAATGATGCTCATCAGGTCAGTCTCTGATGTAACAAATGGCTGTTCATCATAAATAAAATAACATACAACAAACGAAAAAAAAAAGTCTGTTTATATGAGACAGTATAAAGAGGCCTTCAAAACAGGTTTAGAATCTGTTGGCCGACGAGGTGGGCCAGGACCAGTGGTTTCAGTTGCCACTGTTGCTGTTCCCATGATGGGGGTTCTGCTCAGAGGAACATGAAGTGTAGGGCCACCAGGTGACCCAGAAAGTTCTGTAGGGATAGACACCTGCACATGACCTGGAGCACTATAGTGTCCTGATGGCTACAGGGTAGAGCAAGGACATGTGTTCGGCCCCCTTGATGGGCAGCTTGCGGCTGGAGTAGAAGTGGATGATCTCAGGCACGCTGTCAAAAGGGCAGCTGTTCTGACCCAGGATGTACTTGTTCTCCTTCGTTCGAGACAGCTTCATATGCATGAAGCCCTGGCTGCTCCTGCACACAGAGAAATGCTCAGTTAATTCAAAACAAAATTGAGAAGCTGATGTTTGACAGGTACACTGCAGACTGCGATGATCATGTTATGTTTTATCTTCTGCTAAACACAACTAATCTGGGCATCGCAAATGTTTATTCCATGTTTATCACAAGATATTTGAGTCTAAAGAGAATTGTCAGACAAAGTAGTTGCCTCTAAGTGTGCAACAAACCTGCTACTGCAGCTTAAAAAAGCCCAGGCATGTAAAAAGCTACGATATAGAGGATCCTCTACAGATCAACTCTCCATTAAAAACCTCTTCCTCTATTATTCCCTATTTAGCAGCCCTCTCCAGTTCATACCAGTGCTCTGAAAGCTGGATTACCTCTGATAAGTTTGGAGTCACCAGGGGGGCAGACTAAAAAGCAGGCTGCTTAAGGTGCAAGGTTTCCCCATGCAGTGCATAAGGATGAGCCTAATGAACCCTCAGGATAAATCACTTAAGCTACAGCAATAAACGCGTGGCAAATTAAAAGCTCCCCGTGTGCAAGGAGCTTTCGATCGATACATTTTACAACTTGCCGGTAATCTCCTCCTTTCAAATACAAATGCACATTTTATTTATTTTTAGCTGATAAGTGATGCAACGGCTGTAAGGAAGCAGATGGATACTATGTCATGTAAAAATACACTTAGATTAATTTGTCTTTAGGAGACACATGATCATAATAGCCCATTCAGTGGTCAGGTTTTGTTTCTAACACGTTACGATTGCTTTAGGTTCAAACACATTGACAGAAATTATTGGATGATCGCATGATAATGTGCAATGATTGTTTTCAGCTAACTGGTATGTACCGTCTGGATTAACACTAAAATGGAAAATAAAATCAAGACATCATTGCCATCTTTTACAAATACAGTCAGTTTACATTTCAGTGTTGTAAACTTTCATCTAATAATAAAAAGGATTGAATGTTTTTGCTGCAAAGACTAAAAACTGATGCATCTTATCATTCAACATTTATTTATACAGGTTAGTCTCATTGAGCCACAAGGACTCATTTACAAGAGGAATCTATTTCTACATACATCTATCTACATACAATATGGCTGCTCTAATGATGCTCTCACATTGTGCATGCATTTGAATGCGTAGTACCAATCAGGTCATCTTTACACCTCTAGTAAGTATATGTGAGGTGCTGTGTTTATGGGGGCATTATTCATTTCATCAATAGAATTAAAAAAAAAGAGAATATTTTTCTCCAGCAAAACAAAACAGCCAAGACTGCCAATATTTATTTTTTCCAATAGATGGCATTAGTTCGTATATTTGATATTGACATACAAGATCTATACATTTCCCACTAGTCTATATTTGCCTGTGGTAAATAACAGCAGCAGGATGTAGTCTGTTATCTGTGATAAACAAGAGCAAGAAGCCGGCTTTAGGCATCTTAAATGTAAGTCTTGTCTTTAGTCATCATGTAATTGCACAATTAAAGCCGGCGGTTGTGTTCTCTCCCTCATGCACAAAAAGAAATTAGGAAGAAAAAGAGATAAAAACAATTCATTGGGTTCAACTTAGGGACATCCATCAACAGTAAGAATACATTATTAAAGATTCAAGCAAACGAGACGCTGCATTTAAGAATACTGCGATTGGTAATTTAGAGATAGTCGAGAATACATGAACTCTCATGCACTTTATATGGAAATTGATGATAAACAGTGCAACTATTTCAAAGCTAAAAAGCTTTTTTTTTATGGATCTTGTAGATAAGATGAGTTAGAGTGCCACGAGCTATAAAACCGGAGTAAACAAAACTATCAGACTGCTCCATTACGGCGCCTCTGGCTCCCTTATCTGAACGTGCCATTAAGAAGTTCGTCACGATTTGACGAGGGCAGGACAGCTGCACCTCTCTCCAGCTTGATTATTGTGCAAGTAGTGCCATCAAAGATTATTTAAACTATAAAAAGACAAAAAAAAATATTCCTTGCAAAGTGTGTTTGATGAAGGAATGCTGGGATGAGGGCATAAGGTTACATAGAACTACAGTTAAAAAAAGACAAAAACATCAATAGCATCATTTTTTTCTCATGCAGCCGGTGCTCAGAGCTCCTTATCATGTTGCAGCTCTGCAGAGGCAGAAACAAGGACAAGGCTGAGACACAGCAGTGTTGTTGATAAACTGAATATGGGGCTGTGCTGAAGTTGACAGGCCTTTGTGGTGTTATCATATCCCTGTGTTTATGGACCCTCTTATTTGTGTAATCAGGATAAATCTCACTGGGGAGGTCTGCTGTCGTGCTTATTGAGGTTTATGACTTTGATTTGAACCGAATAGCTCTCATAGTGGGAGCAGCCTGACAGCTTATCTCCACCTTCAACATATTGGATTGCTTTGTGAATGACGCTCGTTGTGTTATGAATCCGCAGCATCAGAAAAAGCAGCGCCATCAGCCAAAACGATAATGACCCTTAGCAGAAGCGGTGACCTTTTATGTATTTATTAACCTTTATTTAACCAGGTAAATCCCACTGAGATCACAGATCTCTTCTGCAAGGGAGGCCTGGGCCTCAAGGCAGCCTAACATGCATGTTTTTGGTCTGTGGGAGGAAACCGGAGTACCCGGAGAAAACCCACGCATGCACGAGAAGAACATGCAAACTCCACACAGAAAGACCCCAGGTCTAACCAGGGATTGAACCCAGGACCTTCTTGCTGTGAGGCAACAGTGCTAACCACTGATCCATTGTGCTGCCTTTTGAAGCACTGCCGAGCATCCTATGTTGTTTGACAGGTTTTTTTTTTTCTATTTTGTAAGTGAACAAATTGAAATGTGTTGAAAATTCTACTGAACTTTCTACTCCATTCTGGGTGATCGATACAGAAATGTGTTAAAAACATTTTTTGTAACCATTTTAATATGGCTGCTGAAAAGCTAATGTGTTATGCTGTGTCTCGGTCTGTCCCTCAACTTTGTCTTGTCTGGGCCATAACATCTGATCAGCTCGAGACAATTTAACACAACTTTATACACACATGCATCATCACTAGACCAGAGTTCTGGTTCTTAGCATACAATAATGTACTTTACCACTGCATTATAAGTATCTACAACTAATATTACATCCTCAAAAATAGGTTTACAAATGCATATTGTGTTTACAAGGTAGTAACTTAGTCTGAAATGTTTAATATAACAACTCTAGATGAAATATATAGTTGAACAAATTTGGCTCACTATTTGGCAACAAACTGGTCTGTTTTGTTTCTCTGTCATCCTTAATTAACGCTTAATAAAGTTATTAATGATTTATAAATTATTTATAGAGGAATTAATAACATATCTATAATCTATTTATTACCCATCTACAGTATAAGGGGAGCTTTACTGTAAAGGGGTACCGTTAAATTTCTCAAAGCTGTAATTTTTTAAGTTGAAATAAAAAAAAATATATATAATTACGTGTATTTTGTTGTTTTGCTTTGTTTTGTTTTTTCGAATGTCCAGAGGACCAGATTTAACTTTTTGTTTTAGATTTTTTTTTTAACCTGGATTATTGAGCATGCATCAGGATAATTAAGTGCGTCTTGAATGAAAAATACCCCATGTTTAAAAGTATAAAAATTGTAACAACTAAGTCCATGCTCAATAATCCAGGTATACAATCCAACATTTTTCAGTCAGATCATTTGGACAGTTTCTTTTTTTGTGCTGAAACCTTTAGTGCTGAAAAACTGTATTAACACTATTAAAGAACAGGCCACGTTCACGTTTCATCATCCGGCTCCACGGTTAAAACAAGGTGGTTGTTTGTTCCGCCCAAAACTTCTGATCTGTTCAATTGAGCAAATCTTGAAACAAAATTGTACCACCACTACACGGTATGCTGCATAATTTTTACATCACCTCAGCTCTAAGTTTAAGGTTACAAATCAAGGTAAATGTTTATACAAAAGTCTTTGTTATATTGCTATAGATTACTGTATAATAGTTTGTCGACAGGCGTATAATGTGCTGTTTGTGGTACTGTTATTAATAGATGTTTTAGTTTCTTTAGATCTGTGATGTGGCGAAACGACAAATGCGTTGGGTTAGTTTTATTAATTCATCATTCTCTGACAGTGTCTCAGAGTGGGGAAACAACATGTGCACATGAATGTTTGAGTTGAGAAATAAGATACTACAAAACTTTGAAGAAACTGAGGGGGTGTAAATATTTCACAAGCATTTAAAAAAGGAAAAGAGAAAACATGAAGGTGTGGGACAGGTGAGGGTGGAAAAAGCGATGAGAGTAGCAAAACAGACATGAGGCATTTTTCACTGGGGCCAGGGGATACAAGAGGCTGGAGGTCTTAGCGACGTCTGTCCTTATCAATAATGCAACACACATTTGCGCCACCTCATGGCCTCATCCATTTTTCAGTGACCTCAAACATGGAGGCTCTTCACCTCAGGTTCCCACTCATTTTCTGTGGCAGCAGCAGCGGCGTTTGTGTAAGGGGGTGCTGAACTCAGAGCAACCTCTGCCTGCAGGGTAGTGGAACTTGTCATTTCCAAGAACGAGATCGTTCTCTGAGCTTCGTGTGATTGATGTCGAGGTCGCAAACACCATGTTCAGTGACAACCAAAAGCTGACACAAAAGCAGACGCCATCAAGAAAATATTCCATGTGGATGATGAGTGTGTGCTGCTATTCCAAAGCAGGTGTTTTCTCCGTCAGTTTTTGGTCTGTACGCACAGAAAAGAGAGAACAATTAAACTCTAAACAAAAGTGAGTAGCAAGTGAGTGCCTCGGGGTTGATGACAAGGTTTAACGGTTCCTTCTAAGCTCTTCTCTTCCTCACTTCAGCATCTGCTCCCATTAAAGCCAGCCTTGTAGATGTCAGCTCAGCGCACCTCTAAATCCTTTGCTGCTTATGGCTATGAGAAGTTTCAGGATCCAGAACTGAGAGTGGAGCGGGGTAAAGAGTATTTATATTGGCTGAGCATTAAGATCTGT